AATGGTAATTAAACAAAGTCTTTATCTTCTCTGGACTAATTTACAGGCATGCTACAAGGAAACAAATCACCTTTTTGCCTCCTGGTAATATTTCATTTGCTTCATAATGTTTTAAATGCGGTGAATAACATCCTTCCTAATTAGCCTGCATTTCTCTATAAGGTGGAGTAATTAGGTGTGATACCAGGTAATGAAGTTGGACAGTACAAATTAGAGACAGAAACCATGTCCTTTATGAATATGGGCTGTTCATGGTACTAGCTATTTACTTCTTTGATTAACCCTGTAAAACCACATTGTTTAAAAAAAGAAAACAACCTGGAAACCTGAAACCAGAAGATTCTCTTTTTCTTCAGCAGAGCATCGCATCAGACAGATGTACCATGGAAGTGTGCACTTCATGGTATGTCATTATTATTAATAACACTGGAAATATTATTCCAGTTGAATTTGTGGATGGCACCAATTTCTCAGCTGCTGTCACCTGGCTGAGGTCCTTTACTGGAGCTGCACTCGTTTAGACCAGGGCAGGGTCTATCCCATGCTATTTCACAGTGACACTTCATAATGCAGTAGTTAAATAGTGTTGTTGTCCCTTTCTGAATAAAAAAAGACAAGGTGGAGGTGATCTTTTTCTTTTTTCTAATACTAAGCTTTAGGGCTTTTAAACATACTCTAGTGTTTTGTGAAGATAGGGTCTAGGGCAGTTTGTTCTCCTTATTTTGGCCCATAGTTTTAGAAATGTATAAGCAAAACACTATTTTAAATCAAGTGAGTTACGTGGTGAGTATTGCTAAAAATCTGTTTTAGGCATATTTAACAATTTCAGATATTCTCCTGCAGTTTCAGAAAACATGTCTTGGACAAGTATTTAACCGTAAAGGTATGCTAAAAAAAATCAGATCACAATTTATCAAATTCTTTAAAGTGATCTTGCCATTTGCTTAGGTCTCCGGAAAAGAAGTTGCTTTTAAGTAACGAAGACGTAGTATTTCTGGATGATAGCCACACCATTTAGGCAGCCTTTTGTCAGCAAGACCGTGCATGGTACCTCTTCTCAGAGGTGGATCTGTTCTGTGCCACACTCTTCCTAGACTGTTCAGACTCTGGTTAGCCATAGGAAATCTTTGCTAGTATGTAATATTAACATGATGTTAGCCTTCAGCTGTCCAAGTCAGGCCAGTTTCTTTAGGAGAGTGCCTGGCTTTTGTTGTGAAACCACAGGTCATTTTTCTGGGTAAGATGCAAACAGGGAAGCAGGCGTCCGGGCAGTTCAGAGTGAGAAATGATTGCTTTTTCTCGCACCTAGCTATTGCCTGCTGGTTAACTTGGAACCGGGGAGGTGTCACTGTTGCTTCTGGCGTCGTGCTGGGAGAGCAGTGTGTTGCATCCAAGGTAGTTCAGAAAGTTGTGGTCTTAACGGCACCATCTCATCCCCTCTATGTAATCTGCTAGAGATGAAGGATGAAACGTTTGTCTGAGAAGAATGTCCTCTTTTGCGTTAAAGGAGAGTATTATATCTGTGCTTTTCATTAGCATTTCTGGAAAGATGCCATTGGACTGGGAACTAATTGTTTTGCAGTGTAGGTAGGTACACACGTAGTGCTACTGTCAACAAAACATAACCCTCCTAGGTGGATGCATTGATTATATGAAAAATGTTTTTACCACTCCCTGGAGCCTATTTATAACCCAAAGTGTTTCAAACCTGCCAACAGTATTTTAATTATCGAAGATATTCTACTGTATTCAAACAATGCATAATGCTAATGGTAATTATCTCACATTTATATAATGTCTAACAGCCAAATGCATCCCAAAGACCTTCACAAACTTCCAGGTGTCATGTGCAGTGTATGGATAGTCCTTTACTTGTGCAGTGAAATGCAGCACTTACCTGCAACTAGTCGAAGTTTGGGAAGCGCAAACGAACAAGCTATCCCTTCATTCATGGGATGCGGAGGGGGAGCGATAATGAGGGTGAGTCAGGTTTGGGCGGTTTCCAGACTCCTCTCACAAAGGTGCTGGATCCTCTGGGCAGTGACAGCTTTCCCGGTGGTCCCAGCCCTGCCCCATTCCTGCCTGGGTCCGTCCCCGGCAGCAAACCCTACGTGCATTGCTCCTTCATCTCAGCACAGCCCGTCTGCACTGGGAAGCATGGCTCAGAGGCTGATCCCATCTGAGATCCTCAGGACGGCATGTGGAGACCGCAGCAAACAGAGATGTGTGGATGGTGTGGGGAGGCAGCCCTCTCTGGCTGGCTGTGCAGGCAGTGCTTCCAGCACCGTACCAAATCCTGACCTTGAGACCAAACCCCTCCAGAGCCTCACCACTATCTCCATGTGGTTTCATCCCCTGCCATATTGCCCAGCGCTGTGCAGCAAGGCACCTCATCTGCTGGCTTGCTCCCAGGTCTCTCTAGTACGGTGTTTCTCTGCAGATTTCGATTGCAGAGAGAGATCTCCTCCTCTTCCTCATATTTCTCGGGATGCTTTGGTGGCAGGCGCGCGGGGCGGTCCCCTGCCTCCCCGCCCCTTTGAGGAAGGGCATCGGGGGAGGAAGGGGGCCGAGCCGGTGCTGTGGGCACTTGGTGGTGTCTGTCCATGCCCATCCTGAGCCGCCCCTCTGGATATGGTGCTCCTGGATCGGGGTGGGAGCCCAGCTTGCAGCACAGTGCTGCCCGCAGCCCGGCCCTGGTGCCTGTCCCCAGCTGAAGCTGCTGCGCCAGCTTCACCTTTGTCTGGCTCCTCTTTTCCGACGTATTCACTCCCCCAGAAATCCAGAGCTGCGCTCTGTAATACAAGTGCTGCCAGTGAAATGCAAGTCAGCTGCTCCGTATTTAAATATGATGGGATCTCATTATACACCTGATCTCTGGCTGTATAAACAATACACAAACTGCTGGCATCGCCAAGAACATTTTCCAGGTCATACCACGTCTTGGATCATTTCACTCCCTTTCATCACCCCCTTTAGACCAAAACTGCATAAAGCTTTAACTTTGATGCCAAATTGTGGATAACATTAGTTTAACCTGAAATTTAAAGCCAGCATTTCCGTGCTCCAGAGACAGGGTCTCCCCGGCCTTTTGCTACCATGCAGCTAGCAACCAGAATTTTAATTTTATAAGCCATGGTTGACTAAACCCAGCACTAGGTCTATTAGATATTATTTGATTTAGAATAGTAAAGAAAAAAAAAAAGATTTAAAGATACACTGCTCTCTTATATCCCATTGTATTTTTTCACAGCTCTATACACATGCTTAGACTTTCTATTCAGAGGGCAGGTTCAGGGTTTTTTTCCTGTATGGGATAATCTGATCCTTGCACTTTACAAAAGCCAGCATTATCTACTCTTGATTTAAGTTGCACGACTTTGTCTAAACAGGTAAATATAAAGCTGTTGTTGCCTAAATTGCTGAACTAAAATTTAGAATGACGTTTCCAGCATTAATTGCTAACATCAAATGCCTGTTCAGTGTAAGTGGTTTGTTACAGAGAGTGATCGAGGTTGAAAAAGTATTTCCATATGTCAGTCCCCCAGTTCGAGAGATCTGTTTTAAAACAGCCTGGTTTTCTGGATACACAGCATTGTCTGCAAAATCCAGCTGTGCTGAAGGATGATCTCAAATCAATAGTCCTTTGTGAAAAATCTTGTCCGGGCATCACCCATGTTACTGATGGCCAGCACATGTCTGGGGACAAAACTAGTGTCTACAGCTGCAGGGTGTCTTTGTACAGATCGCCTCTGGTCCTTGCTGTTAAAAAACTTGATGCATAATCTACCAGAGAAGGTCTGAGTGATGTTATTCCTCTGCAGACTAGTTGGACAGTAAGCCACTGCAACACTCATGAACATCTTGTTGTTAGGGATGCATTTGAATTCTGCTCCTCAAAACTATTTTGGCAGCGAGATTCTATTTTTAAAATGTTTCCTCCCTGTGTCTAGTGCAGTGTTGCCATCTGGAGAAGAAATCTGATATTTACTGTTGTTCTTGGAGTTCCACCTCCTGGAGTCCTGGGAATACTGCAGACCTCAGCTTTCAGTGCATAAAAGATACATTTCTATCACTGACAGGTGAAGGAAAAGTAGAAAACCACTGTGAATCTGCAAAAAGCAAATTGAAACAAGCCCCTGTATTGCAAGAGTCTTTTTGAACTGCCAATCTGAACATTTCTCAAACTTGTCTCATGGCTTTTCAGCCATGGGCAGTCACTTATGACTTCTGCTAAAAATCTCTGCCAACGGGGAGAGAGAGAAAAACGTGCCTTGGAGCCCAGGCTTTCATCATGCCAATAAGCTTAAGAAATACAAAGTGAAATAGCAGTGCCAGGAAAGTACACAGGATCAGGCCTTGCTGAGGGTGTTGCAGTGGTAACTCTGAGCCCCAGGGACATCCCTGCTCAGTATGGTGCAGGTAGTGCCTGTGTTTTGGAGGTTGTCTGACCAGCTGCTGCCAGTGAGAAGTAGTACTGGGCAGACTCCTGGCTTCCCAACGTAAGCGCACCATAGCTCAGAGCTTGGCATGGGATGGAGCTGAGCAAGACTTGAGGTACCGCAGGAAGGGGGTGAAGCGTATGGGCAGTGACTGGGCAAAGTGGATCTGTTGGAGCTGACCCAAGTTGACTGTGACTGTAGCATCAGGTGGTGTGCTTATCCTCCCGTGTCCTTCTGCATCCAGACCATGAACCAGAGAGGTTCTCAGGTGGTGCAGTAAAAGTGATACATGCAAAGATGTGACAATTATCCTTTGTCCTGCCTTTAAATTATGTGTGAAATCATTTTTGGTAAATTGTGTTGAGGATTGGCTGTAATGGAAGACGGGTCAGTGCATCTCCTGGCAATATGTGTCTTGCTTGTAACCTCCTATCAAAGAGTCCTCATGGTGTCACCATGCTGATACCCGCATCTGTGCAAGGGATAAAACGAGACACTCCTCTGTAGGTCTCATCATTGCGATACCTACTTATTCTCTGTCTTCTCTGTCCTCTTTGAAAGGTATTCAGGAATCTCCAGTACCAAATGGCCATTCTCTCCCAGGCAGAGATTTTCTTCGGAAACAGATGCGAGGAGACCTTTTCACCCAGCAGCAGTTAGAAGTGTTGGATCGAGTCTTCGAGAGGCAACATTATTCTGATATTTTCACAACAACTGAGCCCATCAAACCAGAGCAGGTACTATTGCAAACATTCAGTGTTTTGCTGATATGCTTTCTGCTGGCAGAGGTCTGCTTGGTGGACATCACCAGACACTTCTCAGAGTCTCAGTAGAAAAACATGGAGAAACAGGTGTTGTATCAAGCTCTTCAGCCTAGTGCATGTTAGCCATAAAAGACTGAGTATTAAAAAATGAAGGAAAACACTTGTTGTGTAAACATTAGTGAGTGTTCAGGTATGAAATTATACCTGATCTGGGCCAGTTACATGAAATGAGTGCTTGAATAGCATCACAGCTTCTGATCCTTTTGTTAGATCAAAAGCAGGCTATGCAGGTAACAAGGAGAAGACTTGCAAAACCCAACACCTAATTTTGGTTCATAGTTAGCACGATTGTGCACACAAATTAGATTTTTGTGTCCAGAAATGGCTTATTAGGCATGTAATTGGCCATTTGCTGAGAGAAACACCCAATTAGTATGTGAAGGTAAATTAGTTGCACCTACAGATTAGCAGTGTGTTTGAGAAGGACTTGGCACTAATTTTTTGGGAAAGTTCCATTTTTGCAGTCGCAATACAGAAGCACATGCAAAAACTGATGAGCTCTGTCTCTCTGTGTTCTTCTTGGGCGGCAGCCTTTAATTTAGCTGCTAAGAGGGAGGTAGAAATGAATATACTGCTGTCAGCAGCAATATCGGTCTAGCTTGCTACTTAATGATGTATTTGGCCATTAATCTTCAGTGTTCTTAATATTACACCTGCTTTTTAGCAAGGTGGATGGACTTTTCAAGCTGCAGACAACGACTCATTTCCCTTGGAGGAATCTATACATTAGAGGGCCACTGGAGATTGTCTCATGGCAGCCTACTACCATCGTGGCTCCAGTTAAGGAATACATATTGGTATAAATTTTTTGAAAAATTACTTACTTATGCTGAAAGTCATATGGTAGAGTAGAAATTTCTTATACCTTTGAGCTCCTATCTGTCATTAGTTATTTCATTCATAGACCCATTTGCTTTTCACCAGCTTCTGCTGGTTTTGTGGCTTCCCTGGTTTGAATTTGCTGGGGAACTCTACAGATCTGAACTCAAGCTGGAAAAAGACGGGGGAGATGATGGGGTCAATGCAATTTTTAAAAAAACTCGTTAGGAAAGCCAAACAAGTGGTCTCTGGAAGGTGAAATGGCCTTCACGTACCACTAGATGGTGGCTATCCCATCTGAACAACGGTGATAATGGAGAGGACAGGCACTGCGCCCACTCCTGCAGCTAACCTTTTCAGTGTTGGTCACTTAGAAGTTGTGTGATGTTAGATCTGTCCCTCTCTAACTTTTCTACACCAGAAAAGTCATTACAAAGACAGCGGTGAAGGAAGAGGATCATTTCTTCATTTCTGTGTTCTGAAGTCTCTGAGTCATGTTACTGTAGCTCCAGGGAGACAATCCAGCACGGAACATTTATCCAGAGATAAACTTTTGCTGGTTTAATAGGAAGAATGGGAGAATTGAATGAGGATGTTGCTAAAGTATTATCTCAGTTGTCAAATATGGGATATTTGGCTGCTGGTGGAGCAAGTTTCTCCCTGGGTCCATGTAAGCAGCTGTGACTAGAATGTCTGTGCTGCCAGAGAGTTAAGATTGGAGATATGCCCCTATTGATTTGGTTAACAGGATACTCTCTGCATGCTCCGGGAACAGGTGCTGAGAAATGTGATATTATGATGTACAAAAGGTCCTTAACAGAACTGCCTTGTTTAGGCATTTTTAAGTTTAATTAAGAAATGGAATTTGTAGTTGTTTGCTTTTATGTAGGTTGGAGCATTGCTGTTTGCTCTTGGAAGGCTGGGGCATGGTTAAGGCCTTGCAGTTGTTTGGTCTTGGCTGCTTCTTTCTGGTGGCATGTAAAGTGTAACTTTCAACAGGAACGCATGTGATCTGTATGATTAGCTCAGGTTCACAAGGATGCAGGATGAACTGTACTGCTTACTGAAGCAGTCATGTTTTACCTCTTTGGTGAGTCAAGCAAAGCTGTCATGATACTTAACCAAAGTGGAGAAGCTGTCTGGATCAATTAGTAAGGCCAAAGAAATCAATGAGAAAGAAAATACTGAGAATATTAATAATGTGACTTGGAAAACCAGAGTTGTCCCTGCAGCAGGTTGTTGTAGTAAACCAAGACCTGCCTCTGGCATCTGCCTGTCCAGAATGCCACTAAGCCCAGAGCTGTGCCTTAGGAGCTAAGTCGGCAATGGATGTGTGGCGTCCTGAGCTGTTTCTGTAGAGGAAAATAAAGAAAAGATGCACCTACCCATAGAGACGAGATGTGGGGAGAAGTCTAGTAGGAGCTTCTGACCCACTGCTTATCTCTTTTCTTAGAAATATTGTCCAGTAGCAGCCAGCTGAATATCACTAATCTTACTTGGTCACAAAAAGTTGTCGATATCCCTGTGCTGCTCACCTGCGGAGGGCTCCAGGTATTTTACTGGAAGAATTGCTCTTCTCTTCTCTAGACAAGGAAGTTCCTTTTTCTCCCTGTGGCTCCTCTCTACATCTCCCTCCTTGCTTGTGCGCTGGGAACAGTCTCTTGGTCTCGATGAGCTGTGGCGTGGGGGGACAGGTCCCTTCTGCACAATGAAGTGTTTGCAACCTCAGCACGCTCGGTCCGCAGCTGAAGGCTGGCTCCAGCTGCCCAAAGTCCTCCAGGTGCATTTTCTGGACAAAATTTGGGCTTGCCTCTTGGAAAGCGTACATTGCCCCTCACATAGGTAGACGTGTTGATGGGCTGTGCGGGAGTGCTTGCCTACCGCTGCCAAACGCGTTACTTTGAGAGCTTCCAGTCTATTTGCTTTACTTTTCCATATTTAATGTTTTCCTCAGTTCACCTGTATGAAATGGAGACTCATAAGTTATTTGTCACCTCAAAATATGTTGTACTCTTGACAAGCATCATCTGAGTTTTCACATCTGCTATAAGCCGTGCTTTCTATAGAGAGACCCACACGGAATGAATACTTGTCTTTGGGAAAGGGCTCATACAATGCTGAGAGAGAACGCAACTGCTGGACAATGACAGGAAAATAAAATATCAGGCAGTCCTTTGTTCAGAAACAGTGCCCATTGCATGCACTGGGTGAGGCAGGGATCCCACCATGGGTTTTATGTCAGACTGTGTACATCGGGGGGCAGAAGTAAGGCACCTCCTATTATGTGCCTCATTTTGCCACCTAATGCCCGGCAGTGCAGCTGTGCATGCATAACTGTGTACTCTGCAGCACAGGTATGTGATACCTGCACAGGTAGAGCACAAGAAATGTTCAATGGCAGGTGAAGTCCAGCAGCTGGGAGCTGGGAAGCCTGAGGCTGAGGTTGGCTGTGCAAACGGAGTTGAGTCCTCTTGTAAGGAGTAACCAAGGCATAAAGTCAGTACTCTAGAAGCACCCCGGCCCGCCTCCCCCCAACAGAAGCCTGCTATAAACATGAATCCATGTATAAAATGAATGCCTTTCCCTCACGTTTGTGCCCTTTTGTGCTCATTTTTTACAAACAGCCCGTGATCGATTTGCACTGGCTGCAAATGTTCATGGAAAACTGATTTCACGTATTTCTGGGCACAGACTTTGAAATGCACATAGCGGTGCGTTTACAACACCACCATTGCACTGCCGTTCTGCCCGTGGCTGCTGGCCACCAGCACTGTCCAGCTCTTTCATTGCCTGCGACAAAGGCCATGGCTTGAATGCCATGTAATCCTCAGGTCCTGGAGAAGGAAAGCCTTCCCAGTGTCTGCCTCCTGGACTGGCAGCAGCTCCTGTTCTCCTCTCCGTGCCTCTTGATGTGTGTGGGGACGGGCCCTGCTGCTCCCCACTCTGTCGGCTCTGCAGTGCAGCTCCACTGCGCATGAGGAAGGCTGTTCACATTGCTTGCACAGCCGACATCCGGACTTCCCCTGGAGAAAAGCCGTACTGACACAAGGAGCAGCTTTTGCCTGCCTGCCCTGGAGTTGTCCTGTACAACTACATCCATGGCGGACCACCGTACTCCCACCTGGTCCCTGACACAGGCAAAACCCCACCGTTCGTGGTCACTGCACTGACAATTCAGATTTTTATCCAGAAGCGGTGCTCATCCCGTGTCCTTCCTATGCACGGAGCTGCTACACTGAGCGGCATAATTTTCCAGTGCCTAGTCCATTAGGAGCATCCAGCTGGAGGAAGTGGAGGTGCTGGCTGTACTCAGCAAACCCCTCTGCATGGCTGTGAGGCTGATTGTCCCCTGCTGGCTTCCCGTGATTACAGCCAGAAGGATGGAGGAGCTCTTCCCAGCTCCTTGGGGAAGCTGTCTTGGGATGGCTGAGCCCATGGCATTGCTTGTGTGAACCATTGACTCAAATGTGTTCGCCAGTTAAAGCACGGACAGGAGATGTTCCTGGAGATCAAGACCTGGGAAACAGCCACCAGCCGGGGGGCTTCAGGCACGGGAGGCTGGACAGGTGCAGGGGGCAAGCCTGGGGCTCACAGACCGATGTGCTTTTGGTAGCTGTGAGAGCGGGATTAATGCCTCTACAGGGGAGAACTGTGGGATGAAGGATATACAGCAGGATCGGCTCGACAGGAGGGGCAGTGCGTTAATTTCCTCAGAATAAAGAAGAGAATTAGCTATGCTGGATTTCTGTCTGCAGCAGAAATGGATTCTCTTGTATTTTCAGCTTCACACATGGGTCCAATCGAATACTCATTGAAGCCAAGAGGAATATTTCTATTGACTTCAATAGACTTTAGATCAGGGCCATAATGAGGCATAACATGATGTGACCAGATTCAACACTATGTAGGTCACCGACTGAGAAGAGAACTGCTTGCCGCTAATAGCAGATAATTCCCAGGCCCTTGCTGATGCTTTCCCATTGTTTTTAGCTAGAACTAAACCAAATATTGGTTCTCAGGTTCATTTCTGGATAAAATGCAAGTATTCTGGGCTTAGGTAGAAACCAGTAACCTGGCAAATGTATACTAATATA